GTGTGATTTGGAGACGCATGAATGAAGGAGAAGAAGACGTGATCAATGAAGGAGAAGAAGACGTGAAAACGTGAAGATAAACATGGTTAATTAAAATAAAATAAAAATTATAAAAATTATTTAATTACATTACTGCCCTTATTAAATTATTTATATATAATAAAAGTTAATTTATTAATTAAAAAAGTTTGTGGTTATTGAGTTGTTCTCGCATTTTCGTAAATCACAGGGGTTCTCGTTTGAACCTCCACCTATATATATATATATATATATATATATATATATATATAATTTAGTATGCTGGACCATTAAAAATTGGGGAAATTAATTGAAATAGTCATTTTTACCGGTGAAACCAACCTTGAAAAAATGACTATTTTAATAATTTTTCCTTAAAAATGCTTACAGTACCATTTTTTAAATAAATTACATAAATCATCCCTTTATTATTATTTTTGAAAAGCAAGCAATCAAAACCGTTACCATTAAACCACCAGTATAAGCTACAAGAACAAAAAAACCAACAACCAAAAAGTGCAGAATTTGTAAGGTACAAACATGGGAGAATCACTTAAGCAAATAAACTTTTAACCCCTCCCCTTACAAACAAAAACAAAGAAAGGAACCTGCTGCATAGAACTATCAAACGCACTCAAACCTGTAGAACACAAAAAAGCGCAGCTTTAGTGTGGTCAAGCATTTGGAGAAGATATCCATGAAACCCAATCTAATTTACTGTTCTGGACCCTTCTAGCAATTCATTCAAAGCTTCTCAATTAGAATTCAAACAACATATTTTACAGCTTTCTTTTTTCCTCCTTGAAAACTAAATTATTTCAATGAAATTAAACTACATATAAAAGGGACCACACTCCTGTTGTCCATAGTCGTGACCGCTCGGAATTTCCACCCGTATGCTCCTCTTTGAAATAAAGCATACCATTAATATACCATTAATAATTTATAAGCTCATTTGAATACTATATAATCATTAAGCCCTATTTATATGACTGAATCTTTTATTACTATTTTTATCTCTTAAAAAATATATATTACTATGATAAATTTACGACTTCATTTCTAAATCTAAAATAAGCAAATCCTAATGAAAATTTGAATTAAACAAATTATAAAAAAAGAGAAATTTATGATTTTTTATTCGAACCAATATCGATGTAGTTTTTTGAGGTTTTTTAGCGGCGTTTAAATTAACAAGGCAAGTTCGATCATTACTTCTAATTTGAAGGCATTATATTAATTTTCCATCCTCGATTTACAATAAGATATTCTTATATCGACTACATCTCAAGGCACTACAACAAAATCGAATTTATAAGATGCTAATTTTTTTTTAATATCTTAATAAATTGTTTTATAAGATTTAATTTATACAAAAAAAATAGTAATAAGGGCTGGAAAACGCAAATATAGTAATCCAATTCCATTTAAGCATCTCATTGCTTTAGTTGAAAGATTCCATTTGAATTGGAATCTGGTCATTCACTATGACCCGCTAAGCATCCATGGCTGAATGGTTAAAGCACCCAACTCATAATTGGCGAATTCGTAGGTTCAATTCCTACCGGATGCAAGCCCAGGTGGAGGGTTTGGATCCCATCTATTGGTTTGAAAGTACAACCAATTATTATCAGAAGACCTTGAACCATTCAAACGAAGCCAAAAGTCGAGATAGACGTATGACTTGGACATTTGTTAAAGTTCAAGTAATTGGATTTCCTGTACTATCACAAGACGAACATCTCTTTCCATTCTCGCCAATCTGATTTCAATGGCTTCCACCTCTTCCTCTATGGCTTCTCCTAAGGCTGACGGTAGCAACTATGACGTCTTTCTAAGCTTTAGAGGAGAAGATACTCGTAATGCTTTTACTGATCATCTTTATGAGGCCTTAGCACGAGCAGGACTCCGCACTTTTAGGGACAATGATGAAATTGACCGAGGTCAAGAATTAAAGCCGGAAATCGGGAGAGCAATCAAAAAATCTAGGGCCTCGATTGTTGTATTATCTGAAAACTATGCAACTTCCACTTGGTGTCTTGATGAGCTTCTGTTGATACTCGAGCAAAGGAAGGAATGTAATCAGTTCGTTCTACCAGTTTTTTATCACGTCGATCCCTCGGATGTCAGGAAACAAGATAAAACTTTCAAGATAGAAGTCAAAATTTCTTCAAGGTGGACAGAAGATAACGTGAACAAATGGAAGGCGGCCCTTACAAAGGTTGCTGATTTGACCGGTCTAGTTCTTTCCGGGTATGCTTCTTCGTTCCTGTTTATAATTTATGTTGGAAAAAATGGGTTTGGAACATAAATTTCGGAACTTATATAATTTTAAAATTTATGTTCTCCATGATATCCTCGTTTCTGTATATTGAACGTCAAAATAGGACCTTTGAGAAATTAATCAACAGGGTAGTTGAAGGAATTTAAAGTGGGTAAATGGCTATTTTTAAGTCATTCCACATAGGTGGATGAGAGAGTGGGTTGAACCAATTCATGGGGTTGTAGGACATATAGCTAGCGCCTCTCTTGCGCGCCGGTGCAAACCGTGAACCGAAATTGGCTTCGGTTAACTGAACTTGTGTGCACGCATACACGAATACACTGCTGGTCGACCAGAAAAGGCTCAGGCGATCTCGAATAACTGTTGCTCTCCTGTTATATCTGCATGAATTAAAAGCTAAATAGTTGTTCTGTTAATAGATAGTCCGAATGACTATTTTACCCATTAGTCCAGATTAACCACTTCCAAACAGTCCTCAACTCTTTAAATGTTATCCACTAAACTTGCTCATTTCCTCGTGTTCTTACAGGCTTGAAACAAAGTTTTTGAACGAAATTGTTGATATCATATACAATAAACTAGATCGCAAAGAAGTTCATCTTCCACCCAATCTAATAGGGATGGATACTCGAAGTAAAGTGGTCAATGTTTGGTTAAGGCAATCTGTCCTCCAATTTTTAATAATTTTCGGCATGGGCGGAAGCGGCAAGACGACGTTAGCAAAGCACATTTACGATTCAAATAGGAATTTTTTTGAAAATGCAAGTTTCGTTGAAGACATTGRCGGTAGGTGTAGAAGACACACAAGTTTTGTTGTAGAGAGTGGCAGTAGATATAAAGGAGACACAGGTTTTGTTGAGCTACAACAACAACTACTCGATGATATTTTAGGGGGCAAGAAGAGAAATATACCCAGTGTTTCACGAGGGACCTCTGTGTTACTGGGCAAGGTTCCATGGGCTCGATTATTCTGGTTAAGTGCGAGTTGATTGACTTGAGTCTCTAAATTTCTAATGGCCGCACTTTGTTGATTTATTAAAGCTTGGTTTTGTGCAAAAAGTCCTTTAATCATTGCTTCCAAAGAAGATGATTCT